TTATTTTTTGTTTTTTTTGGCATTATTTATTTTTTTTGACAAAAACACAATTTAAAAACGTAAAAAAATTTTTTTAACAAAACAATAATAAGAGACACGTAAACATATGAATTTATTTGTTATTATGCATATTATAATTTGTATGTTAAAAACACATAAACAACATTATAGATTTATTATTTTGGCATCTATTACAATACATAATATAATCAAACAAAAAGAAAGATTATTATAATAAGTCATATAAAAAACTTCATAAACACTCATTTTGTAATATATAATATTTACAATGATTTAAATAAAAACTTGTTTTCAACTTATTGTTGAAACGATTTAAACAAATCTGATCTTAGTTATAATTATATTTTATTGTTATAAATTTGGTTTTAAGATTTTGACAAATTGAATGAATTAATCATCAAAAAATAACACGTTTATACAGATTGCCTAATTCTGGATTATAGTATAATTAAGTTATATTTTTTATTCACAAAACCAAAAAATAAACAAAAAATATAATTGTAAAGTCTGTTTTCTATTTACAGTCCCTCAAGCTAGCCTTATGGGAAAAGCTTGCCTTCTGGAAATGTTTTTCATTAATTCCAGTTTATTTGTAATTTTAAAATAACAAAAATATAGTATATTTAAAATGTGTTATTTATAACTTGTTTAATCCATGCGCTTGCCTTATGGGATTTTATTTTTGAAATTTACCACTTCATCGTTGTTTTTAACTAATCTACTGGAACTTCATTTCCCAATTCTTCAAGTTCCATCACGGTAAAAGGTCTTCTAATACCATTGTTGTCAAAAGGCGGCATTGATAATATTTCTAGGTCATATTTTGAAACGAATTTGCTGTTCGTTGTTCCAAAATCTAAATAGCTACTAAAATTATGCTGTTGGAAATCAGGTGATAGTCTAAGATTAAGCTGTAGTTGTCTTTTTTGTGGCAAATCTAAAGGCAATCCGATTATAAGTTGTGGTGAATTTTGAAGTTGGTTATATATTCGAAACCCGACCTCGAAAGTCGGTTGTAATGTATTGTTGATCTTCGTCCACACGTCTTTTGCGTCGACAACAGTTTGTTCATTGGCTATAATAGCAGTTGTCATGACGACATTTTCGCATGGTGGCGTCAATTTGTCAATCATGACATCACTCAAAATTGGAATCACCAATTTATGAACCAAAGATGCATGTTTAATATCAACGTACACTTTTATAGAGTGGTCTTTTATGATAGATACATAACCTGCTCTGGTAAAAGAAGCAATTATATTCTCAGAAGTCGTCTTTTGAAATATCGAACGAAGTACTTTAGAAATCTGGCTTGTAACTCTGGCTCCCCATTGTGCTCTTTCCTTTTCTATTGCTTTCGTAGAAATGGGATCCTCAAGAGACTTAATCCATTCAGAAAACAAACAACACAGTTCATCATTTTCTTCGTGACATTCGGTTCCTGCCGTTTGATTGGTTGTTGGTATTTGTAGTCTTTTAAATGTTGTGAATATGAGAACTTGTGTTGTTGCATTCTTTTTACAATTCCAAACAAACACAAATCAAGTGGTTGAGTGAGATGACTACTATGTGGAACTAAAAATATAAACCTGTTAACAAATCCCGTGTTGGTATAATAAATCTTGAATTTGGGGTAATTTAAACAAATGTCTTCTCCAATGAACTTGTTTGGAATTAATATTGCAGGAGAACAGAATTTACCCGAAGCGGATAGACACGCTATAACAGTACTTCGTTTTGATGAACGTGAAATTCCAACCTTCGTTGTTGTCGTTTTATCATCAACAAAAACTCGTACTATTTGAGAGTCGGTCCATTCATTAAATCCTATTTCGTCGATATTATAAAACAACGCAGGATGTGTTCCATTC